CCTGCCCCCCCCGCCAGGGCTCCCCCCTCAGCCAGCCCCTCAGCATGCAGCAGGTCCCCCAGCAGCCCCTCCTGTCCCCCCCCATGGCACTACAGGTACAGCCCCCCATGAACGCCTCGCCTCCCGGGCAGCAGGTAGGTGCTCGGAGGGGGAGAGGGTTTGCAGCATGAACCGCGCCGTTTCCCCTCTTCCCCTTGGGTCTGTTGGTTTCTGGATGGTTCGGCGATGTTGGGTGTCGATGTTGTCCCCAAGGGAATCTTCTCCTGGCTCCATCAGTTTGCACATCGCATAGTTTGAGGGTGACATTTTGAAGAGTGTTGAGCTGGGAGCATGAGCACCTCCACAAATGGGGCAGATCCGGGGAACCAGAGCACTTTCAGTGGGGGAAGCTGGAGGAACTGGGGGTGCCCCTGGTAAAAGCTCCTTGTGCACCTGGTCCCCCAGCCTTGTCTCAAGGGAGTTCTGCTGATGGTCATCTGAAACAGCGGGTTGGAGAGTCAGTGAGAGACCCCTCTGTGAAACTGCTGAGAGAAAGGGGGGCTGGAAGGGCGGGGGGTTATAGCAGGGATCCAGGAGGGTTGCCAGGAGGAGGAGAAAAAGGATAGAGTGAATGTCACAAACAAAATACAAAATCAATATTTTTCCAAAAGCCGCCTGGCAATAGGAGAAAATCAATTTTGTGGCAGAGAGCTGAGAGCGTGCCATGTGTGCTTGCATGTGTGCTTGTGCTCAGGGCACAGCAGCAAAGCAAATCCTACAGACCGGTGCCATGAATGTGTGGAACCTGCTGACACAAACCATCCTTGGCCATGCCCGGCCCAGCCCGGCAGCCCACGCTCAGGGAGCCAGCCTGCGAGCTCGGAGTCTCTCCTCTTTAAACCTGCTGTGAAGAAAATGTATCCGAAGGAAAAATTGGCTATGGCAAAAAACATTTCCTACACCTTATAGAGAACTTGCCAGGATATGAAGGAGAAGACAAGTGGTGTCCAGAGTCTGTCCATCTGGAATATGAACTGGCCGGACTCTTGACAGTGCAGGACACATGCTCTGAATTCACAGCTGCTGCCATTTACTTCATGATACTTTTAACTGCAGTATTCACCCAGCTGGCTGAGTAATTTGTGTTTCTCATGTTTACTAGCTATATATCACAAAATTCATACAGCACTGCAGCAGTGAACAAAGCTTTCTTTCCCATAATGTGACCTGTTCGGTTTGGAGCTAACTTTGAGAAAACAGAAATTGTTAATTTACGAACAGATATTGCAGTGGAAGAAAGCCAAAGCAGAGCAGGGATGTGGAAGCACAGTTATACCTGACCATAATAAAAAGACAGCACACCTGGGAAGGTCAGATCCTTATCTGGATTTTCATTTCCAACCTGCTCAGGGTATTCCGAGTAACTTCTCCAGCGTGGTGATTGGGCTTCAGCTCTACATAAGCAGAAGTGGCTTCTGTAATTTGATGATAGCCTACGTCCAGAAATGAGCGTAAAAGGGTGTCCTCATAACTACTTTAAGTGGGGTAGTTGTTGCTGCTGAGGGCAGCATTTTGTGAGGCTTTATTCCGCATGACGGTGTGAATAAAAAATAAAAAGTAAAAAAAAATGTACCCCACACTGCCCTAATTTGGACATTTAGGAGAGAATCATGTTCTTGATCAGGTAACTGCCATGATTCCTGTTTCTGTACATTGCCTAATGTTACCTAATTAAGCCAACCCCCAAAAACCGGGAAAGCTAATCAGCTTTCAGGTAACGCAGTCCCGCAGCGTCCGTGTTAGATTGCCGGCGGTGACAGCTGATGGGGACAGCGTTGCCTGCGTGGCTGTCCCTTACCTCGTTACTGTCCATTGTGGTGGGCAAACGCGTTCCTGCAAAGGGGCTGCGCCTGCAGTGGAAAACCGGCGTTGACTGCCAGGCTGCCGATGCAGAGGCCCCCCCAGCCACTCACCACCCCCCGAGGAGGGAAGTCCTGGAAAACGAGACGGGGGGAAGAGGGGTGTAAACCAGTTGTTGCTGCGTTGACACCTGCTTGTGGCAAGTCGCATTCCGCAAGGTCCCACCACGGGGGTTGCGGGTCCTGCGCTTGGACCTGCTGCAGCCCCCGGGGCTGCTCCTGCGCTTGGACCTGCCGCGGTCTGGGGGCAATGCGGGTAAATGAGTTCGTGCGGTATTATTCAATCTGCTGTTTCTCCTGCTGTGTACGCTCCTGTAACCCTTCCTTTCCTCTCCACCCTGCAGGACTTCTCCCATATTTCGTCAGAGTTTCAGAACAGTGTTGGGCCCCGTTCTCCTGGTGCATCAAACCCTCCAGGAAGCACTGAGTGGGACAACGACTACCCCAGCAGAGAGTGTGGGATTAACCACTGCAGGCCAGTAGACAAAATAGACATTGCTAATGCACTTTCTGTTATCTGAACTGTGGCAGTGTACAGCAGTGAGAATCTGCCCTAAAATGTACAGCAGGTTGGTAGGCTAATTGTGGTCAACAAAGTTCAAGGTTTCCTCTTCTCGGTAGGCTCACAGAGAAGCAGGTAGCTTAAAAATCACGGGTAATTTCTTAATTGGGCATGAAGAGGTTTCCTCTTTTTGTGTTTCCATCCCATCAGCAGTGGGGCATTTGGACACGTTTCATAGAATCATAAGAATGGGTTGGGTTGGAAGGGGCCTTAAAGATCATCTGGTTCCAACCCACCTGCCATGAGCAGGGACATCTTCCACCAGCCCAGGGTGCTCAGAGCTCCATCCAGCCTGGCCTTGAACCCTGCCAGGGAGGGGGCAGCCACAGCTTCTCTGGGCAACCTGGACCAGTGTTTCACCATCCTCACGGTGAAGAATTTCTTCCCAGTATCTAATCTACACCTGCCCTCTTTTAGTTTACAGCCATTCCCCCTTGTCCTATCACTACACACCCTTGTTTCCTTCTAGAGCAGGCCAGGGAAGCTCAGTCTCCCAAGCAGAGCAGGTCTGGGGGTGTCTGTGTCCATAAGCAACGTCCTTCTGTTCCTAAAGTGATTGCTCTTATCGCTGAGGCCACAACCTCCCGCAGTTGTCTCTAGCAATGGGTCCCTTATCGGTCCTGGGGTTTCACCACAGTAGGGTACAAAGCCTCCTCCATTGGCGAGCCTCACAATGCTTTGGTCCCCTGCACCTTGCAGGAAAAGGCCACAGGCATCCGCACAGATCTTGCCCTTTACACCCTACAAGCTCTGCCATGAATGTGCCAACACGAAGGTCCCTTCCATGCTGCTTGAATTTCCCAGTGAATAAAAACATCAGGATGGACTTAAAGCTGGGGAAGAGGGAGGGTGTGAAAGCTGTTTCCACCCTCTGCCTAAGCCACTGCTCTTGGCCCAGCGATTACAGTTTGGAAGCTGCTGCTGTGCTCTGTAAAACAGGCACGTGGTTTGCTGGGAGAGCAGGTAGGGAAGGAGGCTTGGTAGCTTCTGAGTGTTGCTTGATTTGCTTGAAGTACTGGAACATAGTGCTTTCACTGGAGATAATAGCAAGCTCCCAGCCTTTTCAGAGCACAGCTCCCGTCTGTGCCAGCAGTGCACTTACGATTGCTGGGCTGGGCACGGACTGTACAGACATTCATTTCTTTCAGGAAAATAAATAACTTGCTGAGCCATTAGAATATCGCTGCTGTCCGCCTGCCTGAGGGTGCTCAGCTACGGGGATTGTTCTGGGCTCTGCCAGCAACCTTTGAGTGGTCCTTCCTGCAGTCTCTCCAGACAACCCCAAAGAAGGAACCTGTCTGGGACTTGAGGATAGAAGTCATTTTAGATGCTGTGGGCAAAACACTAAAGCTGCTTGAGGGGTTATGGCACATGGTTCCCAATTTCCAGAGGTGCTGAGCAGCTCCCACAAAAATTAGCCCCGCAGAAATAAGCGTTGCTGCTGAGGGGATCAGTGGGGAAAACGCTTGATTCCCTCTGCAAATCCCACAGCAGATAACTTGGGCATTCTAGAAACGTCTGACATGCTCCCGTAGTAGGCAGGATTGAGTTTTGTGTTGCTAAAACAAGCTCTGTGACATCTGTCTGGAGTGCCATACTGTAGGCAAAGGGCCCGTGCAATTTGCCATCAAAGCTCATGTGTTTCATGCCTTTGTCACAGCAGAAATATTGAATTTCATGGGCTGATCGCAGCTTCCTGGAAAAAGAATCGTTTTAAAACCAGACAAATGATGCAGAGACTTCCAGGTAATTATTAGAGTAGATTGGAGCAATGAACTCGGATGGATATGGATCAGTACTGCAGAGTGCTCAGTGCACCGAAAAACGTCGTAGACTGCTAAGGAAGGAGCCCATCTCCCGTGACTAGAGACACACGAGCTGCTGGCAGCCCAGCTCCTAGAGCTGGCTTGTTCTCATTTTATTGTAAAGCCTGGTGTGTCAGCAGCACCAACACCCCTGGTACTGGGTGCCCAAGTGCGTGCTCTGCATTGCTGGTAGCACCCAGGGACCCGGTGGGACTGCAGCCCCGCTGCGTCTCAAAGTTAAAGCTTGTGTCCAGGAAGGAGATGAGCTGGTTCTCAGCATCTTCCTGCCCGTACTGCTTTCTCTGGCGTACTTGGCGCTGTGCAGAGGTGCCCTTGGGCTTCTCCTCCGCGGTGCCTTGCCAGGAGCTGGGCGTGAGGATGCAGGGTGGGCTCTGTGCCCGAACGGCCCCGGCAATCAGCAAGGCTTAGGCAAAGCAGCGGTAAAGGGAGAGCACATCTTGTTGAGGTTGATTCATCAGCGCAGTTTTAGGCATAATGGGGAAGCCTCTGGATCATGTAATTGCCCATTTCAACCTCAAAACTGCGTTCAGCTTAATTGCAATTAAAGCAGCACTCCGAGGAGCAAAATCAGCAACGGGCTGGAAAGAAAAAGGATTATTTTCTGTTGTGCTGTGGCTCAGCTGCAGAGTCCCAGATTCCTGAAAGAGAGGATCCTACCAACCTCCCCAGCGCGCAGGCAGCCCTGTCTTGCTCTCCAGGTTAGGATTTTTATTTCGTGCCTGACCTTGGTATTTCTTTAGCTTCCAGCATGTACTGGCACTGGGTTAGCTGGGGTAACACCTCCCAGTCCTGCGTCTTCTTTTGTGTTTGTCGTCCAGACAGCTTCTGAAAAACTAACAAGGTTATCTTTCTCTCTGTCCTCCTCCATCTAATAAGGGAACTGCTGTAGGGTTTGTTTTTTCCCAGCCCATCAGTGCTATATTAAAATGCCATTGAACAACACTTCTGCACTTCTGCCCCTCAAATTCTCCCATCCTGCGAGCAGGCACTCCTCAATTCATAAACCAGCCATTTTACAGAGTTTGAAATGTTTCTTAGCTCATGCTCTCCCCATTCTTAATGATTTTGTGCTTACTGACTTCCATCCAATTTTCCTAGCTCTTTCTGGGCTTAAGCCCAAGCTGTCCTAGATTGCTAGCGAAGACACGAGTAGCATTTCTCAGTTCCTGCTTAGTCTATGACTATCACTTCCCACAAGCAACTGCAGCATACAATTTTATTGCTTTTTTGCCGTAATATCACAAACTACTTACCTCGTCCCCTGTCTCCCTCACCCGACAGCCTTATTCTGCGCTTGCTCTTTCCCAGGCACCCACGGAGTTGTTTCGCAGTGACTTTCTCCGAGGGAACTAGCTCACCTGTATCAAGGTTGCAGCTTGGTTTACGATCACTTGCAAATCTTTCTTCATTCCTGAAGGCACCTCACCGTTCTCTTCCGCTCTGCCTTCTGATTACAACTCTTTCTGCACCAAAGCTGTCTTCAGGGCTCGCTTACATTTGTCTCCCAGCATTTAGGTGTGTTGGTGATAACGCTAAGCTGGACTGAGCTTTCTATGTCCTTCCTCTCATTTGCGAGGCACGGATTAGGTTCTTTTTGGGTACCACCATTTAGCAACTTTTCTCCCTGCTTCCCGCTCTCCTTTGGGCTAAAAGACAGGACACTCTCAGTTATGCCTTGTCCAGATGCAAAAAACCATGTACGGCCACTTCATCCGGACACTTACAACCTCGCTAATTCCTGCTAACGATGTAACAAACCTCTCCAAATGGGGGATTTTTCCAAATCAGAAACGAAATGAGCAAACACTGTAAAAAAGCAAGGATAAACCATCACAAATGCACTTAGTCGGGATTCAATTATTTATGTCAATACTTTGTAATGAACTGAGAAATGTTCTGTAGCATATTTTGTAAAATTAATGAAGTTTTAGTACTGGAACACCTCACTGCTGCTCAGTGGCATTAAATCTTTGCTGAGTGCAGTGGGGAAGGCTCTGCATTTTAAATGCAGATTATGAAATGTGGAGATTAACAAAGTGTGGACTCCACTGCGTTCTATCAGAAGACAGCTCTATCAACAACAGCGTTACCTTGCTGTCTGCTGTTTCCCCATTATTCCACTCACAAGCACGCCCGCACCGGAATCTCCCAAAGCTTTGTAAGGTTCTTCACCACCTTTTAAGGCCGAGATGTCTTTATGGAGCCAGTGACGTTTCCATCAGGTCAGTGTAGATGATCAAACCAATTAAAATGCCTGGATTTCAGAGCAAAACCCACAGAGGACTTCAGCCACTCCTCTCTCTGCTGTGTCCTGGAAAAAGAGCATCTGGGCTCCCTCGCAGGACACTGCTGGTGGCAAGTTTGGGTTGCGAGCCTGTCCACGTGGACGGTTGAAGCACCGGGTGCTACAGACAGGGATGGGGATGGGGATACCCCTCTGTACCCCTTGGTGAGGAGCTGTCAG